AATGCTAATCAAATGGACTGTCAGAAGCTGTTCATCAAGTTCCACTGGTAATACACTATTACATAAATGGACTGTCAGAAGCTGTTCATCAAGTTCCACTGGTTAAATGCTGTCAAATGGTCTGTCAGAAGCTGTTCATCAAATTCCACTGGTTAAATGCTAGTCAAATGGTCTGTTAGAAGCTGTTCATCAAATTCCACTGGTAGTGCTAGTCAAATGGACTGTCAGAAGCTGTTCATCAAGTTCCATTGGCTAATGCTAATCAAATGGACTGTCAGAACCTGTTCATCAAGTGCGATTTTACGATTGATTACAAACACGTATGCAGTACTAATTTGAAATGCATGTTAGTGGAGTGTATATTAAGTTTAATCTAACTCTAATTTAGAGGCGATAGATCTGCTTCTTTTTCTCATGCTTGTGGGAAATTCAGTTTTTCTTACATGTGTAAAAAATTTGTTGGTAAGCAAAGGAATTCCAACGTAAAGTAAGGCAGGGTTGATCTGATCACCTACAGTTGTACTGGAGTAGAATTTTCTCCTCGGTCCACAAATGTGTGCGTACAATTTTTATCTTATCACTTAAACGTGTCAGGGCTTTTTGTAATGCCGCGGGGGAGTATACGCCTGTCCAGGATTGTTGTTCAGCGAATGATAACTACCTCAGCTGTGGCGAAGTTGGCACAGATACACAGTAAACAATATAGCTTTCTTCGATGGGTGTACGTTGTGGAGATGTTAACTTATTTTATTCCCAATGTTTAAACTTGTTTAAACTTAGATAAGGTACTGTATTATCAATTAATTTAATTAATGGCTCTGCTCTATTCTCTACACATCATCACTATACTGTATTATTATTTATTATTATTCATTACTATTGGGCCTATTATTATTAATATGGCCTATTATTATTAGGCCTTATGTTGTTCATTTTATCTCTGTATTTGAATATTTACCATGCTGTTGGCCTACGTAAACTTTCATAATCTACAACCAATTCACTAGCACAGGCTGCGACCAGCATTGGTTTTATTTTTTTTAAATGATTTTGTAAACTTTAGAAACATAATTAACAAACTACCTCCCTCTAAAAAGTACTCTTAACTGTAAATGCCCTTTAAACACAAACGCCCTTAATTAAGAAAATAACTGTAGAAGTACACGTTCTCATGGTTATGTTAATTGTTAATTAACTGCCTTGCACTGGATAGGGTCAAAACATGCCCATTCGTGCCAAACAAGTGTGAGAGTGATGAATTACAAATAGCGAATTCAGTGGGCTGTAGTACTGAACATGTGCGACAAGACCTGTTCAACTGATTAAAAGTTTAAGTTAATATTACTGTTTATAGCACATAACGGAAAGCAAATATAAACACCCTAGCAGATATCAACAAAGTTAATGATTATGATTATCAATGTCTGAATTAAAATTACATATAAATATAATTAATAAACAAGATTAAGGAACCACCACTTTACTAAAATATAGGCGAACAACTCTATTCACTGAATCGCAAAAGTTTCTACTGAACCAGCCAGTCGGTTACTTTCAGCATTTGACATTCTTTCTGTCTTCATTCCTAAATCGGCGGCATACAAAGACTTGATCTACTTCTCTCAAGTGCATTGTGAGAACCTACAGTACTTGTGGGAATGTTTCTTATTACCCTGCATGGTACTTTATCCACAATTGTGATGCCTAGCATACTCCTTTCCATCGCATACTGGGTTGTTCTTAACTTATCTTTGTTGTTTTGAGTAAGTTTTCACATTGCTGATCCATATGTGATGACAGGAATAAAGCACTGGTCAAACACTCTTCTGGTTCCACTGGTTAAATGTTAGTCAAATAGTCTATCAGAAGCTGTTTATCAAGTTCCACTGGTAATGCTAGTCAAATG